AATACTTTGTCTGATCCAGAAATTGAATTCTGGCATCTAGGATTGTGTCGCCCAACCAACGTCTCTCTGCTTGATAACTAAGAGCAAATCGTCCCAATCTGGTCGAATTGCTGGAATGAAGTGTTCAATCGAATCAATTGGTCAGTCATCTCAACTTTTTTGGTGCCCTTTGCCACCATAATTTTCCACAATACGTGGAATGCATGGATGGCTCCTGTTCTGGAATGTGAATTCATTTAATCAGTCGCATTGGAACACAGTGTTGTACAATTTATTTTACAAATGCTTACAAAATCTCGAGGATTAGTAGTGATTTGTGAAGGGGCATGCACTACAGACACTTACGTAGAATCAAACAACGTTGGAAGCTGCCGTAAATATTCCTTGAACGTGCAGATGCTCCAAGGTGATGATGGTTTTTAGTTCTGCAGGCTTCGATTTGGTCAACTCCAAGGATATGTTGTTTAAAAAGGCAAGAAAGAGCAATAGAACATTTCTCTAAAATTCTGTAGAGTAGTAGAGACGTCTATGAAGGGTACAAATTTTGTGCAAGGAAATCTCATGTAGCTGACCTTGGGTATACAGCTTCAGGTTCATCAGTTGTGGAACCAAACGATTCTTTCTCACCTGCTCGGAAAAGTTGAATTGTACTGTCTTTTCAACTTGAAAACCATTGAATAATGGCCTAAAGTTTTAAGTGATATCATCTACTTATCTTCTAGGATGATGTAAAATCTTTAAATTACCACGTCTGGTTAGGTAATGCGGGAGAAAAAATATTTGTAGTGAAGAATAGTGTTCGAAGTAAGATTTTATGAATTTAATTTTTTTTAAAAATAAAGAATATAAAATTTTAAAAGTAAAAAATTATTTTTTGAGAGGTTGAAAGTATAAAACTAAAACATTAGAAAAAGTTCATAGAAATTTTCAAAAAATTTACGAGTATGCTCTTGGATCCTCTGTTTGGACGTAGTAGTGTGTTATTTTGCTATGACATGTGGCGTTTTAACAAAAAAAAATCATCCAAACAGTCAATAATTATTTGTTAAACATCTTTTCTTCAAATGTTAATGATCTAATGTACGGTCAGACACATATATGGTCATTCTCCTAATTAAATAAATAATATATAAATTAATACTAAAAGGTAAATAAAATATTCATAATAATTAAAATAATACAATTTAAAATTGTTACCGTATCGATAAAATGATTCGAAATATAATTCTCATCTAAAAACAACAATCCACCTTCAATTTTTATAATTGTAAAAAGTAATAAAAAAATTAGTAAATTAAATAATAATTAAATAACAAACTATTAAATGATTATAATATAATAAAAATTATAGCTTCTAAAAACGATAGTAAAACTTACTTAAAGCTCACTACAAGAATTGATAAGGAAGAGATTAAATTTTTTTTGTGTGGTTTGAGTGTTGTATGGGAGGGTATTTATAGGGGAGGGGGAAGGGGGACGGGCTATTGGGTGGTATTAAAAGGGGTAGGTGATAATTTAATGGAAGGTGCAGATCATGATCTACGTCTTTCGTCATGTGTCAAATTTCCCGCTAAGGCGCGAATTACAATCCACGCTTTTCTACCTTGACGCGAATAGAACCCCAAGAAAGTGCGCTTCATAATCTGCGCCTTTCGTCCACATCTGCAAGACGCGTATCCTGAAACACGCTTCATTATCACTATGTCAGAAAGGGTGCTAGATTGATAATTAGGAATGGCAACGGGGCGAGTTCGGGGCAGGTTTTGCTCCCCCGTCCCCGAAATGAATCCCCGTCCCCACCCCGTTCCCCGTCGGGTTTTTTATCAGGACGCCTCGTTGGAGATTTTTTTTGTCCCGTCCCCGAACCCAACCCGAAATGTTGTACCCGAACCCGACCCGATCCCGAGAAAAACCGAGCAACCGTAGTTTTCATAAAAAATAGAAAAAATGATCACAAAAAACTGAAAAATTAGTCTACATGATTTACAATTCAAACTACAGTCACAAATTCAAACTCAATTCTAAATAATTGTCTAAACTCAAAAATAAAACACATATATAATTAAATACAAACTTGTTCCAATATTCAAATCATACAACGAAGATGTATACGTAATATTAAGTCAAATAAAGTCATCCAAAATCGTAGTGTCACTTTTAACACTTTCTTTGGTAGCTCACTATATTGAGAAATTTATCAATAAATCAACTAAATTTACCAAAATAATTATATATAATTAATATAAAAAAATATAAAATGTTATATATATATATAATCGGGGCGGGGTGGGGCGGGGAGAGGATACCTTACCTCGATACCAAACCCGTACCCAAAAAAATCATCGAATTTTACATCGATACCCGATCCGACCCAATATTATTCAAACCCGACCCGACCCGAACTTAACCGGGTTTCGGGTTTTTCGTCGGGTTCGGATCGTTCTGTCATTCCTATCGATAATATTTGAAGAAAATGTGTCTTTCAGATAATTATTGATTGATTAGGTAATTTTTGGGTAAAAACCCCTGTAAAAGTTGGCGGGCTGTAAAAAACTCAAAAAACAATATATTTGGAACTTTAATAAATTTGCGAGACAGGAGAGAGGGAGACTATATCTGTCAAAAAAAAGGGGTAAATGACACTTGAGAGGGTAGCCATCCTAACCTGTTGTTCTCTTGCGTTGTCTGGCTTCGCAAACATTTTTCTACTTTAAAAGTTCTATTTTATCGTTGTTTAATACTAGAACGTGAAGGTTAGTTGTATTATTTTTTTCCTTAGTTCACCAAAATTTAAACACGACCCAGTTTGTAGTATTTTTTTTTTTTTGTGTTTTGGGGGTTTAATCCTCAAAATTTCGGGTTTCCTGAATTGAGGAACGACAGGTCCAGCACATAACCAACGAAAGGTAGGAGGAACATCACCTCTCTTATTATCATTAAAGAGGGCTGACCTTTCTTTCTATGACTTTTACCATCTGAGTTGGCACCTACCCACGCAATGAAGTTGAAGATCCTATTCCTTTGTTAGATTTTCCCATTTTGTTTACTTTGAACTGCATCATCTTTTTCTTTAGTTTATTTTTAAAGATGATTGGACTGTTTTATGTCTGAATAATGGATCAAAGTTGTCGTCAGGTGAAAGTAATGTGATCTATATCGTATGCTGTCTGAAATTTTTTGGTTGAATTTATCCATGTTACATTAAAACTAAGCTACTCTAGTTTTTTTTAACGTTGATAAAATACTCTACAGTAATATCTTGCTATAGAAGATGACCAGCTTTTACAAGGGCTGAAGCCTGAACCATTTTGGGCTATCCGGTCCTCTGTAATTGCAGTCTGGTTCGAAGTGATATAAACATAAAGTTGCTCAGTTTATCGTACAGATAGATCATTCCATAATTTCAGGAATCTTTTTCCTTCATTGATAATTGGTCGCATCCCAATTCCCAAGGGGAACTTCCAGACCAATTCCTGGGTTCGGTTAAATTGGGAAAGAAAGGAAGAGAGTTACTATAAGATTGGTTCCACTTGTCTATCTTTGGAAAGAGAACTCCACTCTGCTCAGGCTCAGCTATTTCAACACTGACACAGAATGTTTTCTTTAAACGATGTCTAGGCTAAAAAAGACAAAGAAAAGCTGTACCAAAGACTAGTCTGATGGTAGCTATTGTTCTGAATGGATAGTTAAGGCAGGATAATATATATATTTGAAATTGCATTTCATTTACAGAGAAGGTGAAATGTGAGAAGTTTTATTCAGCTTTAGTGGATCTTCCTCCCTCATTATCCTATGCGATTCCCTGTTTCTCTTAAACTAAGACGATGTTTTTGATTTTTCTTACACAAGCTTGCACTTGAAACATGATTGATGATTCCAACATTACACTTCTGAAACATTTAACTGTTAACATACAGGGAGACATCTCTTGAACTATGAGTGCTGCATTGAAGATATCCACTTCTAATGGCTCTGACAAGTCTGAAACAACTGAAGAGCGAAAGACAAGGTATCTTCAGTTTTTATGATCTATCCCACTCCTAGTACCATATATGATCATTTTTGATCCCTCATATATCTTGAAAGGTGAAGCAAACAAAAGCTACTTGTATGTTATAGAGAGTAAAGCTTTCTAACATTTTGGTATTTGCAGATTAGTGAGATAAGAAAGTTGATACGACCATTACCTGAGAAATTGGCCATTTATTGTTCTGATTCCTATCCACTAGTGCCAACAGTTTTTCCCGTTTTAGTTAGAAATATGAAGTCGGGTAAGCACCACTCCATGTGCATCATTTCCATTCTAAACTTCTTTTGAAACATTTTCTTCATTCAATCAATGTAATGTATCCCTTGACAAGACCTTACTTTATTTCATACTTGTCAAGTTTAGCCTTTGATCTTCAATAAAAAATTTAAAACTCTCTGTCAGAAGTTCACTATGGATCTAAAATAATCATGTGGTCCAAATTAAAGACAATTATTCTAACTATTGCTATAATGGGTTTATAATAGGCACCTCGAAGATATTATTCAAACAAAAAAGGCACATTTTCTCCATATAAATACAAGGACAAATGGAAGTTCTTATTTCTGTGTATCTGTTGCAGGGTTTGGCTGGCTGTTCAATATCTCTGCCAGAAATACACCAAACTAGAGTCATAAGATAGTAAAAGAAGATTACTGCAAGCATGCAAAAAGTCAACTGTGACGGCGGCTAACCTCCTCAGCTATTGGTCTGACATTATATACCCAGCGTGACTGTAGATGAAAATGGTAATGCAAATGCAAAAATATTCTTCTGGAAAACAGAAGAACATACCGAACTAGAGTCATAAGGAAGTAAAGAAGATTACTGCACGCATGCAAAAAGTCAACAGTGACGGCGGCTAACCTCCTCAGCTATTGGTCTGACATTATATAACCAGCGTGTAAAATTGTTTGAGTTGGCAAGGGGAGAATATACCAAAAAAAAAAAAGATATCGGAATTTGATGTTACCTATATTTGGAAAAAGAAATGTCAATGGAACAATTCATCTAGTTTCTGCCTGTACTGAGCCAACCTCTGCAAAAATTGCAAATGCTATGAAGCATTAGTCTTATGTTGGTCAAATATGAATACTAGCAGCCGGTGGCTGCTTGATATTCAAAGGTGGGGGGGCTGCTTTGAATAAATGGGTGGCTGCCTAATTTTGTTGAATTTAGGTTTGGGTTAATTATTTTTGGTCACTAGACTTTAGAGTATTTTCAAAGATTAGTCCCTAAGTTTTAACTATAAATACCCTAGCTCATTTAGCTTCAATATCATCCCAAAATCTTCCAGTTCTCTCTCAAGTGTGTTTTGTAAACACTTGTAATTTTTCTCTTCAGTAAAAGATCTGCAGCAGTCCGGAGACGTAAGCACAATTGGCTGAACTCCGTTATCAATTTTTCGGGTATTATTTTTCCGCTTTTATTTCGTATTCTCACTAATCTGGCTATAGGGAAATTACTTGTTCTCGGTTTATTTCCTAACAACTGGTATCATGAGCTTTTGGTTGTGAATTTTGCCAATTTTTTATGCGGGTTACTATTCACGTGAATAGTGAATTTCGTGAATAGTGAAATTTTGTCGGCGATACGAATTTGTCGACGGAGGTGTTCAAATACACGGCGGTTCGCAGAAATTGTCAAAAACGATTCAAAGAAGCCAGATTCGAGTGGGAGCGATGGCTGCAGACGAAGGGAAGGTGAAAATTGAAAAGTTCGATGGTGCGGACTTTGGCTTTTGGAAGATGCAGATTGAAGATTTTTTGTACCAGAAAAAATCTATATCAACCTCTTTCAGGAAAGCAACCAGAGGGCATGAAGAATGAAGACTGGGCTCTTCTCGACAGACAAGCCCTCGGAGTTATCCGACTGACGTTATCCCGCAATGTTGCTTTCAACATAGCAAAGGAAAAGACCACGGCGGGTCTTATGGCGGCTCTCTCCAGTATGTATGAGAAGCCATCGGCCTCAAACAAAGTTCATTTGATGAGGCGATTATTTAATTTGCGGATGACGGAAGGGGCATCGATGGCACAACACCTAAATGAACTCAACACAATCACAACCCAGTTGAGTTCAGTGGAAATTGAATTCGATGATGAAGTTCGAGCTTTAATTCTCTTATCATCTTTACCAGACAGTTGGAATGCTACTGTTACAGCAGTCAGCAGTTCGTCGGGAAATAACAAATTAAAATTCGACGATGTTCGGGATCTGGTACTGAGCGAAGAAATTCGACGGAGAGAATCGGGTGAAGCATCAACCTCCTCAGCCTTGCACACGGAGTCCAGAGGGAGAACTTCAGAAAGGAATTCAAATCATGGCAGATCGAAATCCAGAAGGGGAAAATCAAGAACAAGAAATAAAGATTTTACCTGTTATAATTGCGGCAAGAAGGGTCACTTTAAAAGAGACTGTCGAGCACTGAAGAAAGATACCAGCACACAAGGATCTGCCAACATGACAGAGGAGACAGGTGATGCCATGATTCTAAGCGTCAACAGTCCGATTGAATCATGGATCTTGGATTCAGGGGCATCTTTCCACTCCACGTCATGCCAAGAAATCATGGAGAACTATGTCAGTGGTGATTTTGGGAAGGTTCATCTTGCTGATGATGAAACCTTGAAGATCGTCGGAAAAGGAGACATCCGACTAAAGCTGCCAAACCTGACCACCTGGAAGCTGACAGGAGTGAGACATATTCCTGGTCTCAAAAGAAATTTGATTTCTGTAGGACAGCTTGATGGAGAAGGATACAGTACAACCTTTTCAGGCTGTGAATGGAAGATTACCAAAGGAGCACTCGTCATTGCTCGTGGTAAGAAGACTGGTACTCTCTATGTAACCTCAAATTTAGAGAATATCATTGCAGTAGCAGATGCTGATGGAAAATCAAACCTATGGCACCAAAGGCTTGGCCATATGAGCGAGAAAGGAATGAAGATACTTCTGTCAAAAGGGAAGTTGTCGGATCTAAAGAATGTAGATGTCGGACTATGCGAGGATTGCATCTTTGGCAAACAAAAGAAAGTCAGTTTTGCAAAGATTGGCAAGACACCCAAGGCAGAAAGGTTAGAATTGGTTCATACTGATGTATGGGGACCATCCCCAGTTCCATCTCTTGCAGGCTCACTATATTATGTCACCTTCATCGATGATTCAACAAGGAAGGTGTGGGTTTATTTTATGAAGAAGAAATCAGAAGTCTTCGATATCTTCAGAAAATGGAAGGCCATGGTGGAAAATGAGACTGGTTTGAAAGTCAAGCGGTTGAGGTCTGACAATGGAGGAGAGTACAGAGACAGTAGATTCAGAGATTTCTGCGCAAACAATGGGATCAAGATGGAGACAACAGTTCCCAAGACACCGCAACATAATGGTGTAGCAGAGCGCATGAACAGAACTCTGAATGAACGTGCCAGAAGTAAAATACCAGAGGAAGTTTGGAGCAAGAAAGAAATAAACCTTTCACACTTAAGAGTGTTTGGTTGTATTTCTTATGTACACATAGACTCTGCTGAAAGAAGTAAGCTTGATGCTAAGTCCAACAAATGTGCCTTTGTTGGTTATGGCGGTGATGAGTTCGGTTACCGGTTTTGGGACTATGAAAATCGGAAGATCATCAGAAGCAGAGATGTCATTTTCAATGAGAATATGATGTACAAAGATAGGTCAATTGTAGAATCAAGTAATACCGAGGCTGAAACAAAGGAATTTGCTGAGTTCGAGGAGATTTCTGAAAATGATGTTCAGATCAGTCCTGAAGCAGTTCAAGAGGAAGAACCAGGCACACCAGAACTGAGACGCTCCTCCAGAATTCCTAAACCAACCCAACGGTATTCACCTTCTTTACACTACTTGTTGCTGACTGACAATGGTGAACCAGAGTGTTATGATGAAGCAATGCAAGTGGAGGATTCAGTCAAGTGGAAGTCTTCCATGAAAGATGAGATGGACTCGCTTATGTCAAATCAGACGTGGGAATTAGCTGAATTACCACCAGGCAAGAGAGCGCTCCATAACAAGTGGATTTACAGGATCAAAGAAGAGCACGATGGGAGCAAACGTTACAAAGCAAGATTGGTTGTCAAAGGCTTTCAGCAAAAAGAAGGTATTGATTACAATGAAATTTTCTCTCCAGTCGTGAAACTGTCTACAATCAGACTGGTGTTGAAAATTGTAGCTGCAGAAAATTTACATCTTGAGCAGTTAGATGTAAAGACAGCTTTCCTTCATGGTGATTTGGAGGAAGAAATCTATATGAGGCAGCAAGAAGGCTTCATAGAGGCAGGCAAGAAAAACCTGGTATGCAGGTTGAAGAAGAGCTTGTATGGTTTAAAACAAGCTCCTAGACAGTGGTACAAGAAGTTCGATAGTTTCATGGGTAGCAGTGGTTTTACCAGATGCCAAGCAGATCATTGTTGCTACATCAAGAGGTTCGACAACAGCTTCATTATTTTATTATTGTACGTTGATGACATGCTCGTTGCAGGCTCAGACATGCAAGAGATTATATACTTGAAGCAAAAATTGTCGAAGCAGTTTGCTATGAAGGATCTGGGCGCTGCAAAGCAGATTCTTGGGATGAGGATCAAGAGAGACACAAAGTCGGAGACTTTGATGTTATCACAGGCTGAGTACATCAACAAAGTACTCTCCAGGTTCAACATGCAAGATGCTAAACCAGTAAGTACACCTTTAGGTGTTCATTTCAGACTCTCCAAAGAACAGTCACCAAAGACGGAGGAAGAACGTGCACACATGGTGAAGGTGCCGTATGCCTCAGCAATTGGAAGTCTGATGTATGCCATGGTTTGTACCAGACCAGATATTGCTCAAGCAGTGGGAGCTGTTAGCAGGTACATGAATAATCCAGGCAAAATACACTGGGAAGCAGTCAAATGGATCCTCAGATATCTGCGAGGTACCACAAACAAAGCACTTTGTTTCAAAGGTGGAGATACGATACTGACAGGCTATGTAGATGCTGACTTAGCCGGAAATGTTGACATCAGAAGAAGCACTACAGGGTATGTCTATACTCTAGGAGGAACCGCAGTGAGTTGGGTTTCTCAACTACAGAAGATAGTTGCTCTCTCTACAACCGAAGCAGAATATGTCGCTGTTACGGAAGCCAGCAAGGAGATGGTTTGGCTCCAAAGTTTCTTGGAAGAGTTAGGCAAGAAACAAGAAAACAATGTCTTGTATTGCGACAGTCAAAGTGCTATCCATCTAGCGAAGAATCCGTCTTTTCATTCCAGGACGAAGCACATACAATTGCGATATCATTTTATCCGGTCTCTTCTGGAAGATGGGATTTTGAAACTTGAAAAGATCAGTGGAGCTCAAAATCCAGCAGACATGTTGACAAAGACGGTGACCACGGACAAACTGAAGTTGTGTTCAACTTCAGTTGGCATGCTAGAGTAACAAGACTAGAAAAGCTGCTGCATCGATCGAGGTGTGAAGATAGATTAAAATCAGTCTTCAAGTGGGAGATTGTTGGTCAAATATGAATACTAGCAGCCGGTGGCTGCTTGATATTCAAAGGTGGGGGGGGCTGCTTTGAATAAATGGGTGGCTGCCTAATTTTGTTGAATTTAGGTTTGGGTTAATTATTTTTGGTCACTAGACTTTAGAGTATTTTCAAAGATTAGTCCCTAAGTTTTAACTATAAATACCCTAGCTCATTTAGCTTCAATATCATCCCAAAATCTTCCAGTTCTCTCTCAAGTGTGTTTTGTAAACACTTGTAATTTTTCTCTTCAGTAAAAGATCTGCAGCATTCCGGAGACGTAAGCACAATTGGCTGAACTCCGTTATCAATTTTTCGGGTATTATTTTTTCGCTTTTATTTCGTATTCTCACTAATCTGGCTATAGGGAAATTACTCGTTCTCGTTATATTTCCTAACATCTTAATATCAATAAGGTTGTGAAAAAACTCATTTTATATCTATAAGGTTGATATAAACAAATCATACGACGGAAGCATTTGTAACTCGAATAACTGGTTTGAACACATAAACTATTTTACAAAAGAACCAAGTAGCTTCTATGATTTATAGAAAGAATATGATGGTCATATCTGCATATTGATTCAGAGAACACCTTTCCTACTGCATGGAAGTTCAAATACGCCATGATACAAAAGTTCAAATCGTGAACTATGAAATATTCGTGAACTATGAAATATCCCAAAGCCGTAGCACTTTGTAATTTCCAAGCTCCTTTTTATTTGTCTTCTCTATTCGAACTCATAACTTTTATGTTTAACTTTGAATTGACCTATCAATTTCATGCTTCTTGATGCAAAATAATGAATATAGAAGCAGTAGAGTGAATGGATTTACACACAAGTACGTAAACGATAAATGCAAATAACTGGAATTGATTGTTTTACGGTGTCTTCACTGTGTATCTGACTCCATAACCTAGCTTGCTCATTCTCATTATGCATGGTAATAGGCACCTGCCAAAAGGGGTAACGTTAATAGGTCTACCAGTCTAATAACCGAAGAAAGATTAAACAGGGGAAAAAACAGTCTTGGAACTTTAGTAAGTAAATAAGTGATGTTTAACAGCTGAAATCCGAATAACCATGTCAATAATTTTACAGACGGATGAATGGTAGGTGCCCTGTACCATGAAGCAGCCACTACCGTCTCAAGTTACCTTATTGTGGCGGTGCTGTGTCATGGCTAGCATAGCAGTCATATGTGCATGAATTAGTGCTGACGTAAATATCATGTCCACAGGTATGTTGCTGATTCTCTTTCCAGCTTCAATTGCCTCCTCCACTCCCTTCTTGGTTAAAGGTACATCAACACAACCCGTAAACAGGTTCTTCTCATTCCATAACGACTCCCCATGGAGAATCAGTATTAAAGCTGCTTCATCCGCAATGAATACAAGTTAAATAGATGCTTTCACACAAATTGAACCCAACTTTTCCCCTGGTTATCAAGAAACAACAAATCAATTTCACCAGTTGAAGCCAATGCTCTTTTCCAGTCTGCCATAAAAGTTAAAACAAATTTTGGTGAAAGTCTAATTAGAGGGCAGTTGAATTGAGCTTTAAAATTATTAAGAAAAATGATGCATTGCTATAATATTCACTCATTAAAATATTAAACTATTCCGAGAGTCTCGCTCACTTGTTTTCCTGAGAGATTCATGTGTGCTTTCATTAGAGGGAGATAAAACAGGATCAAAAACAGAGGTTTGAGAAGCTGAGGCTTGAATAACACTGAATTTCTTCACTCCGAAACTATTGACTCCTCTCTTTGAGAACCCGACTTCCACCTTAAGATCTTTGGGAAGCAAACTCACTGAATTGTTCCCAACTTCGCTATGAATTCCAGAACTGCTAAGAAGCTGGAGGGTTCCAACTGTTGGGTGCAACATTACATCGGCCATTCTGAAAATTCAAGATAAAGAAGCACCAACTGAGAATATTTCAATAACAAGATACAAATATAATGGAGAAATCTTCATTATAGACATGCTAATACGTTCCCTTCCATTGCACAACGGGAAAAGGAAGCTAGTGCAACAGTTAATGGTAATCATGCCACTAAGGATTTCATTTCATTATAATCATTATTTAAGTTGATCGTAAGGCAGATTAAGAATCTAATCTCTCAACAAGCTCCAACAACATTGAAAGAGAGGCAACAACCTCAAGAGACATGATGGATAATACAATGATACTACCTCACCAGTAAAAACTGGGGAAGCTATCTCTTTGAGGAAAAAGAATGAAGAAAGGAAGAATATTTTTTGGATGCCAGCAAGTCGATCGCAAGAATATTAATTAAAAATGATCCCACAGATACAAGAATCAAAAGGTTTTCCAAATCGAAATCGGGGTTTTCTTCCATAAATCAGATAAACATAGTAAATTAAAGGACAGCATAAATCCAGAAAATGAGACAAAATTGACGAACAAGCTGAAACCAAACCTTTAAGACAACAACCCAGACATCAAAAATCGAATGTTAAAGAGAAAAGAGGTCGTCTGCCTTGCCGGGTACAAGAAAGAGTCGAGCTTTTGAAGTATATAGGCCAGTGGCGAAGATTAATTTATTAAAAATATAAATTACATAAATAATCACTAGAATATAAAGTAATTTTTTATTAAAATTTTAAATTTAATAAAATAATTATTAACATTATCGAAAAGTAACAAAACGATTATTGCATTTTTGAACTATGTCAAGTGACTAGTGAAAGTCTAATGTAATAATTAATATAATATTTTTTAATAAATAATGATGACATGTGATATTATCTTATTAGCGTAAAAAACTTGAAAATATGAAAAATCCTTGTATGTAAAGGGTGAGAATCAATTAACAGGATTGATTTAAGTGGTAAGCAGCTTGGTATTGTTTAACTAAGATCTCAAGTTTGAGTCATTGTGTATGTAGAAAATCATTGTTGAGAAACTTATCTACTAAAATTAAGTATGTGACTTAAATTAATCCGAATTAATTAGAACAAAACATAAGAACCGGAGGATGAAAAAAAAAAGGTGCGATTAAACTTAAGAACTCTATGAAGAGATCTCTAATGGCCAACAACCACCAAACTTGTGAGAAAATATCTAACAATAATATGACAAACTTTAAAATAATAATATAAAATGAATTAAAATTATAATATATATAATAACAACTAAAATGAAAAAATCGACCATACTAAAATCGTTTTAGATTTTTATTCTTGTTATGGTGTAGTAGCTTTATCACTGTTGTAGCAGCAGGCCCTACTAAAATGGACCACTAGACATAGAAAGAGCAAACGTAGGTCACAAGCTAAAAATATATAAAAATAAAATAAATCAACTTTGGTTTACGAATCCAAAATTATTAAGTAAACAACAATTAGTAACACAAAATATAGACATTTCAACTTCTACTCAATTGTTCACATGTGTTGTTTCTCAAGTGGAGCACATGGAACACTCGAGCAATATGGGCCCAACACCATGAGTGGAACTCCACAGTTCAAACCAATTGCTACATGTAGCAATCATAATAGATAAAAAGAGAGAATTTTGAAAGGAGAAACGTATAGAATACATGAAAACTCTCATTCAACAAACAAACAAAAAAATTGAACTCATAGGCCTCCAATTTGATAAATCCTCTAGGATTTAGGTCTCCAATTAAATTCTTAGAAATAAACAAACGATAAGCACAAACCCAGATGGACGGATTCTTAAATTTTTGTTTCCATGTCCTCTTTCTGTCCCCCGGCCCCACTCTTGGATCTCTTTCTTAGGTCATCATTTTGAAGGAGAATAAAGTCGGTTCACTTTGAAGAAAGAGCAATGGCCAACAATATTACAAATGCCTCTAACTGATTAGCATATATCTTAAATATTTATATAATTTTTTTGTGTGGATTTACTGTTGAAGATTTCAACTCGGATTTGGAAGCCAAATGGTCAATACTTCAATATGCTTTTCTCAAACTGATTAGCATATATCTTAAAAACTAGATGCTGGAAATCTCAGATCTCAAGCTACAGATATCATTAATGGTATGCTAAAAAGTTACACATTATATGCTACAATAATATGCACTTTATTTTTTTTTATTTCTTTTCTCATCTCTGCCATATCCTCCACATTAAACGAACCAAATGCTTTTTTTTTTAAATGTAACTTTAAATTTTTGTAGCTAAAATGCAACATTCTCCATTTTAATACAACAGTTTCTAAGTTTTATTCTAAAAACAAAATAGATAAATACATATTATAATTAATGGAAACATATAATAGACTAAATGACCTATTTGTAAATCATGGATGAATTATGGAAGCCATGCAACATGAACTATTACCAAAATATTATGCAGTCGTTAATAATATACACATGTATTTTCATTGCTGAATTATGGCGCACAATAATGAGAAACAAGTTGTCCCATCCAGTGCTATCAAAGTTAAAATGATAAAGAAAAAAAGTGGCCCATATTAGTTTTTTCCCCTTGACCTCAATAATGTTGCTTCTCAACCAATTACGTGCTCATTTGTGTGTGTGACTGACTATTTTTTTCTTCAATAAATGCTCAAATATCCAAAAAGTTATTATGACATAATATTTTTTCAAATCTCAATTTTTAAGATTGTTATTGTAAAAAAAAAAAAGCTTAATACAAAATAAATGTTCAAATTACGTCTCAAAAATATTTTAGTGTCTAAATTTTTTTTCGTTAAATATAAGTATATAATGTTTCCAACAGTATATTTTTAGGTGTCCGAACGTTAACCGCCATTAAATATCTTTGTTAAAAGACATGTGTCACGTTTGGATATTTTTTAGAATTTATTTAAAAATAAAAATAATTTTTTTTTTGTAAAAAAGTAGCACCCCTGTGTGCCCTCTCCCTTCCCCTTCCCCTTCCCCCTTCTTTGCCGATCGATCGACCAGCGGTGATCATCACTGCCACCATTATCAGCAGCGATGTCGACCGCCGATCAAATCCCTTTTGACATTTCGTCGTAACATGCCATCGTTTGCCGTAGAGAAACGTTCAAAGGTTCGTCGATTTTTAAGCCACCGTCGCTTTTCTTCATTGATTCTAATGTCCATAAGCTACACCACCAACGCCATTCGAATAACCGTGCAATTCCGATCAAAACCCAACCGTTCAGAAACAAAGACAATGGTCGGAGATGGCCGGTGATCTTTTGGGTTAGGAAATTAAAATTAGGAATTAGGGATTTGGATATTAGAGATTTTAAATTTAGGGATTTTGGGTGATGGTAAGGATGGTGATTGATCAATAGGTGGGTGCGACGGGTGATTAATCATTCAACGATGACGATGGTGGCCGAATATGACCGGCGACGGTTGATAATGGGGTTGAAATGAGAGATTTTAGTTTTTTAGGTTTTTTTATTTTTATTAAAAAGTTATGTTTTTTGTAAATAAATTAATTTTTTTCTTTTTTAATTAAAAATAATATTTTTATTATAAAAAATTAAAAATTAAACGGTAGACTTTAACTTCTTTAAGCACTAAAACGTTTTTTAAGGTATAATTTGAGCACTTATTTTTTATTAAGCCCCAAAAAAATCTATCTATATAAATAAGATAAGAAAAATAGATACCAAAAATGGGATTTCTTAACCATGCAGCAAAACAATCAATTGTAGCCAAGGGTCATAAATCATCCAAATATAGGAGTATTTTATGGGTTGATGGTGAGTTGTAACCGATAAACTTCACTGCCCTTTTTGCTTTTTTAAAGTTTATCTTAACTAAGAACTTAGATTTCAAAGGCATTAAACATTTAATCCACCTGAAGAGAGAAGATGTTATTATATGCAAGCAAGTGGGCATATATGCAGTGGGTCAGCCAACCTACAAAATAAATGATGCTCCTCGATCAGTTAAAGAGCAAAGGTCTGGAGAATGACTCATCAGCTTTGGAGATCCATTAATCACTTGGGCGTAGCTGGTTTTGCTTTAATATATAGAATCTGCAGCCTCTTTTTCTTTCTTTCTTTCTTCGTAAATCTTCCTGTATGAATAAAAAAGGAGGCATCTTATTTGTATTCCTGTCTGATTTTGTTTTGTCTCACACACAAATTACATACTTTGTTCCGAGTGAACCGTGCCTCCATTTACTGCCACTTGTTTCAACTTTTTTTCTTTCTTCGATAATACGTTGGAGAATATTTTCAATTTTATATTTTTTCTGGTTAATCTTAACAAGACAAAAAATGTAAGTGTGTGTGTGTGTGTGTGTATATATATATATATATATATATATATATATATATATATATATATATAGCCGATTCTCTTATACTGAAATATGCTACAATAAGACTTTTTGTCTTGGTGGAAGCTTTGGTTTTCATGCACTTATACTGGTTTGTTTGAAACTTTGAACTTTGATTCACATGTACCGCGTTTTGGTTCCATTTTATTTATAACTCTATTTCATCTATGAAAATTTATTATTCATAAGGGTAAAGTATAGTAATGGTCACTGAAATTTTCTAAAACTTTCATTTAGGTCCCCCAACTTTTAAAACTTGCAATACAGTCTCCCAACATTTAGTTCGTTTGCAAAATGGTCCCCCAACAGTTACGTCGGGGACCATATTGCAAACGGACTAAATGTTGAGGGATCATATTGAAAACGGACTAAGTGTTGGGGGATTATATTGCAAGTTTTAAAAGTTTGGGACCTAAATGAAAGCTTTAGAAAAGTTCAGTGACCATTACTATACTTTACCCTAAAATTTAATTTCAAACTTGTATAATCACCTGGAATAGGAATAAATGGACGAATTCACGGTTCAATTGGTTCATGTAAATTGTTTGGGGTTTAACTTTTAGGTGAAGTTTTGGCTTTGGTCTTTGTCTCTTTGTTATGCTCAAAGTTAAGATACAATCCCTATTTAATTTTTACCTATTATTTTCTTGCCTTTAGTTAGTCTAAATAACTTGGTATCGATGATTATTTTAATAAATAATAACATAGATTATATATATCACCTCCTGCCTCTATCATGCTCTTAAAAACCGTAAAAAAAATTGTAGCATTTTAATTTTAACTGAAATAAGTAACGGTTGTGAACTATTTAAATAATATATTTACAATCTACGACCCAAATCAGTAAGAGTTATGAATATTTTCAAATAAATTTACGAATTAACTAACAACCATTTGGTTTAGTGAAATGAGGTTTTTGCAGTACTCGATCTAGATTAGTCTATTAATAAATCGGATACCGGTGGTTATACCCAAAAAATAAATTTACGACTTAAATTAGTAAATCATATTTGATTCAATTATTATTATTTTTGAATAGTTGATTCAATTATTTTTAGAGTTATTGAGTATTGAAAAATAAAATCATTTATATTATTTAGTTAACCTACTGAAAATTGTTTAAGATACAATTTTTTTTCTTCAAATTGTCATTTGAACTTTTTCAAAATAAAACTAATATTTAATATTAAACTAAAAAATATCAAAATAAAAGTTTATATTTTTTTATTATACTCATATTAAGT